GAACCCTCGGGCGGGAGCGCCGCCGCGCTTCCCAAGCGGCGCACTATTCAGTGTGCCACCGGGCTGGCCCGTCAGATCTTATTTTTAATGTACTAATTAATTTTGAGAAGACATAATTTAAGAGTAAGTATACTTTTGAACTTAACCTGTTTTCCTTTCCTTTATAGATTCTGTCAAAATCTCAGTTGTCATCTGAGAACAGAGAAGGCAAAGTGTTGTGGACTGGTTGGTTCTGCTGTATATTTGGAGACAGTCTTCTGGAGACTGTTTCAGAAGATTTCACCTGTCTACCTTTATTCCTTGCAAATGGAGCAGAGTCTAATACAGCCATAATTGGAACTTGGTTTCAGAAAACCTTTGACTGTTATTTCAGTCCTTTAGTGATCAATGCGTTTAATCTTTCCTGGATGGCTGCTATGTGGACTGCATGCAAAATGGACCATTATGTGGCTGCTACTGAATTTCTTTGGTCTGTACCTTGCAGCCCTCAAAGTCTGGACATTTCTTATGCAATACATCCAGAGGATGCAAAAGCTTTGTGGGACAGTGTCCACAAAACACCTGGGGAGGTTACCCAGGAGGAGGTTGACTTGTTCATGGACTGCCTTTATTCACATTTCCATAGGCATTTCAAAATTCATTTATCAGCCACAAGATTGGTTCGTGTTTCAACGTCTGTAGCTTCAGCACATACTGATGGAAAAATAAAGGTTAGTTTGAACACATCTAGATTAATAATTTTTTCTTACTACGGCAGGGTTTTCAGAATGTATGGTGAGGGGCTGGTCAGTTAGCTCGGTTGGTTAGAGCGTGGTGTTATAACACCAAGGTTAATCGTTTGGATTCCCGTACCGGCCAGCTGCAAAAAGGAAAAAGGAAAAACAAAAACCAGAAATGTACGGTGATTGTATTCTTCATATTAAAGAAACACATTTGAATGTATGCCATTTCAAGACAGTAGAGAAACTTAACTTTATGCTTCATAAATGATTTACCTAAGTCTTCATGCAGTTTTATAATGGAAGGACATTATATGCTGTGTGCTACAGACTTTGGTAATAATATGAATTATTCTGCAGCAACTTTGAAACTTTCAAAATTGTTTCTTGGCCAATTTTGAAATAATTATCAGAGTAACAGAGGATTTTGTGTGTTAGATAAAATTATAGCCAGAAACACAGAACTAAGGTGTCATCTTTATATTCCATACTTTTCTATCCCCTTTGGGAAAAGAAATAATAGAGATGTTGTTTTACTCTCGAGGAAGTGCTTATCACAAGAAGTATCAGAAATAAACTGAGAATTGGCTCCTAAAATATATTAAAATATATGGCCACAATATATACTCTGAATGTTTCCTGTGATACAAGATCATGACAACATGTGCTAGGAGTTTAACAGACTTGAATTCTCATTTTTACAGCAATCCTGTAGTTAGTTTTTTATCCACATTTTGTTTTAAAACAAGGAAACTGAGGCTGAGATAGATTTAAATGATACATGCAAGATGGCTTAGTAACAGGAGTCAAGATTTGAACTCTCATCTCTTAGGTTGCCATAAGTTATATACGCTATAAGCACTGTACTTGTGCTTTTCAAACTGGAGGTCACAGGGCTGGCCAGTTAGCTCAGTTGGTTGGAGCACAGACTTGTAATACCAAGGTCACGGGTTCAGATCCCCAAACTGGCCAGCCACCAAAAAAAACCTGGAGGTCACAATGTAATAGTGGGTTGGGAAATAATTTTGATGGGAAGAGACCAAATGTTAAAAAACAAAAAAGGAAAATAGAATAGAAAATATAAAAATGAGAGTGTTTTACATGTGGTAACCTTAATGAAGTAAATTCAGAAATTAGACCAATGTAACGTTGATCATTCAAATACCAAACTGCTTTGTTATCTTAATTAATACGATTCTAATTTTAAATGTCTTCTTTTTTTCTTTTTAACAGATTCTGTGTCATAAATATCTTACTGGAGTGTTGGCATACTTGACAGAACTGGCCATTTTTCAAATTGAGTGAGGCCTCGTGTGGACTATAGGTTGTGGATTATATACCCTTTTCTCATTGATTGTCTAATTGCTATGCTCAGAGGGAATGCAGGAGAATGGGCATCTATCTTTCCTTATAGTGCCTTTGGAGTTGCCCAGATGGAAGCCAAGAAGGATCAAAAGAAACAAAGAATGTGGTAGTGGATGAATCACAGCCAGTTGCTTGTATACTAGTCATGATGATCTGGGATGCCAGTCTAGAAAATGCTGAGTTGTTAATTTGTTGGTCATCTTCTAAAAATATATATGTTTATTATGTTGAACTTTTAGGATTTAAATGAGATGTATTTAATAAGGGTATTTCTTATTTGGGTCTTTATATCCTTTAATTCTTTTAAGCATTTTAGACTTGTATTCAGGGAGAATTTCTGTCTTCTAAAGACATTTTTGCTGTAGATAACTGGCAATCAAAATCTCTCAGAAAGAAACTAAATATACAATTTTTTAAGCTGCTAATGTTTCTGTTTTTAATACTGTTCAATTCCTATTCCAAAATTGATTAAATATTCACTTTTAGAATGAAGCAGTGTGTTTATCAATGTTTTTTTTTTTTTTCCTTTTTGTCTTTTTTACTGACCGGTAACGGGATCGCAACCCTTGGTGTCGCGCCCGTACCGGGGACCGGCAACGGGATCGCAACCCTCCGTGTTGCGCCCGCACCACGCTCAGCCAGTGAGCGGGAACCGGTCTCCACGTGGGATCCAAACCCTCGGCGGGAGCGCCGCCGCGCTCCCAAGCGGTGTACTCTCCAGTGCGCCACCGGGCCGGCCCTGTTTATCAATGTTTTGATGACATTTTAAAATTAATGTCTCAGTAGTGAGAAGTGGTAGGCTTTTTCTCTAGAACAAAGGGTATAAACCAGCAATTATATAGAATCGTACAAATTGTAGAGTTGAAAGGCACCTGTGACCTCTCCCTCCTTTTTTTTTTTTTTCATCTGGCCGGTATTGGGATCCAAACCCTTGATCTTGGTATTGTAACGCCATGCTCTAACCCACTGAATTAACTGGCCAGCCCATGAGCTCCTTTTAAGGGCAGAAATTGTTTTGCTTAAACTTCATGTTCCTAGTTTAGTACAGTGCTTGGTAAATATCTGTAAATTAAATGAATTTTAACCAACTCTTCCATTTTACAGGTGAAATTGTGAGATTGATCAACTTAAGAGACTTGCTCATCATGTTATATCTAAATCTCTTATTTTTACTTACTGAACATAAGATTTTGTTTTCTTTAGAAACAATGCTTTTTAAATTCTTGTTTGAAAGAAAGTAACTTTAATAGACCATCATTCTAAAAACAAAGAATAGGGCCAGCCGGTGGCTCACTTGGGAGAGTGTGGTGCTCATAACACCAAGGCCACGGGTTTGGATCCCTATGTAGGGATGGCCAGTTAGCTCACTTCAGAGAGCGTGGTGCTGACAACACCAAGTCAAGGGTTAAGATCCCCTTACCGGTCATCTTTAAAAAAATAAATAAATAAATAAAAACAAAGATTAACTTCTGGGATGGGGTATTATTTCAGATATACTAAGAGCAGCAGAGGTAGTGGGAAAGTATGGGCTTTGGAGTCAGACATTCATTTATTCAACTAAAGTTAGCTTCTGCTATGTGTGTAGAATTGTGTTGGGTAATAGGGCTATAGCAGTGAAGAAGATGAAAAAGGTCTCTGTCCTGTGTAAGTTATATTCTAGTGAAGGAAGGCAAAAGATAGATAATTTCAGATGGAGAGAAATGCTGTGAAGAAAATAAGGCAGTGCAATATGAAAAAGGGTTACTAGTGGTGAACTTTACATATAGTATTCAAAGAAGGTCTTTCTGAGGAAATAACTTGAGCTGAGTCCTGAATGATGAGGGAACAAGCCATGTGATTATCTGAGGAAGGGTGTGCTAAGCAGATGAAACAGCAAGAGCAAAGGCCTTGAGATAAAAGGTAAGAGCTTGGCTTATTTGAGAAACAAAGGAAGTTAGTGTGGCTGGAGCATGGTGAGTAAAGGTATATGGGGTAGTAAGAGATGAAACTGAAGAGGCTGTGCAGCAGAGACTTCTTCCATGGTGTTATATCTCCCAATTTTTGGCTGGGGCACTGGGGTCCCTAGAATAAAGATGACATTTTCCAGCCTTCCTTATAAGTAGGTATAGTCATATGAATAAGTTCTCTGACCCATGGGATATAAGTAGAAATGGCATGTTCTCCTTGCTTTTTCTTATTCATCCCTTCTTCTAGCTTTGCTGTCTGGAACATTAATATAATGACTGGTACTCTAGCGACTCTTAGTGTGGGGTCAGATCCTAGGGATGGCAGAGCATAGTGTGGGAAGACCATGTGCTCCAAGGACTTCTTGAAGCTGAAACCCAGTGCCAGCCTTGGATGGTCTTCCCCCAGGCTTGTTTGTCAGAGCAGTAAACTTCTGTCTTGTTTAAGCTATTGTTATTTTGGGTCTCTGTTGCTCACAGCCAAACCTAATCCTGACGTGATACAGAGGCAGGATCCACGTAATCTAAGTTTTTATAGGTACAGTGAAGCAACTGGATTTTATTCTAAATGCCTCTGCAGAATTTTAAGGAGAGTAATATGACTCAAATTTGTATTTTACAAGATTTTATAAGATATGAGGGAGATTAAGTTATATGGGACAAGAGTGGAAGAGGGGAAACAGTTATGTCAAATGATATAAGCCCTATGAATTTAGCAATATCTAGCAAGATTATATGTGCATTTACCCTTCGATCAGCAATTCCACTTCTAGGATTATACCCCAAATATTCACGGGCAAAATATACAAAATGAAGCATGTGTAAGGTTATTCATTACAACAGTATTTGTAATAGCAAGACTGAAAACAATTCAAGTGCTCATCAGAGGGGCCTGGTTAAATAAACTATGGTATAGCTGTAAAGTAAATTACTACTATCTAACTATAAGAAGGATTGAGGAAGATATCTGTGTACTCCCAAGGAGTGATCTTGGATATATTGTTATGTGAAAGAGCAAGATGTGGACAGTGTACAGAATGCTTTTTTTTACGTAAGGAATGAGGGAAATGTGAGTGTGTGTGTGTATTTCCTTATGCTTTCAAAAAACAATGGAAGGATAAGTAAGAAGTGAATAAATGTGTTTTCTTATGGAGGAAGGAAGGAACTGGGTAGAGGGGATAGGAATGGAAGTTAAGACTTACCTGAATGGTCCTTGTTTATAGTTTTGAACCATGTAAGTGTTTTATATAGTTATGAAACAAAATTGATAAAAAAAGGAAAAAAATAAAGCAGTCCTTAAAAATTGAAAACAAATGAAACTAACTATATTAAGTTCACGGCATAACCACACAAATAATTATTTTTGGTATCTTAAGTCATTTTTAGTATCTACAGTCATTTTGATTGTACATTGTAGTGGGCTCTATCCTAGGAAAAGAGCAGCAAAGAAATCTTAAATCACATTCAGTTATCTTATTAATAATATTGGTAGTTATTTTTCCACTATTTAAAATAAGATAAAAGATACGTGTGATTATATCACTGTTAGGAGCCAAGATTTTCAGTGTAAAAGATATATAATTATAAAATGAAGTAGAAATTTATAATATTAAATTTTAATTGGAAATTTCAGAATGAACTTATTTTTGAAGTGTAAAGTTTTTAATTTTGATGAGATTTAATTTATCATTTTTTTATTGCTTGTACTTTTGGTTTGAATGTAAGAAATCATTGCTTAACCTAGAGTCTTGAAGATTTACTCCTCTGTTTTCTTCTAAGAATTTTATAATTTTAGCTCTGTGATTCATTTTGAGTTAATTTTTGTGTGTGGTGTAAGGTAGAGATCCAAATTCATCCTTTTCCATGTGGATATTCCAGTTGTTCCAGCACCATTTGTTGAAAAGACTATTGTTTTCCCATTAAATTGTCTTGTCACTTTTTTTTGGAAATCTATTGGCCATAGATGTTTGGGTTTGTTTCAGGACTTTGAATTCTGTTTCATTGATATATGTCAGTCCTTATGCCATACCACATTGTCTTTATTTTTTTTAGCCAGTGTTGGAAATCAAGGCCACAATGTCTTGATTACTATACCTTTGTATAGTGAATTTTGAAATCAGGAAGTGTGAGTCCTCCAACTTTATCTTTTTCTTTTTTTCAAGATTATTTTGGCTATTCTGTGTCTTTTGTATTTTCATAAGAATTTAAGGATCAACTTGTCAATCTTTGCAAAAAACCTAGCTGGCATTTTGATAGCGATTGTGTTGAATCTAGGTCAATTTGGGGAGTGTTGCTGTCACAATGATATTAACTCAAATTATGAACATGAGATATCTTTCCACTTAAATATTCTTTAATTTCTTTCAACAACGTTTTACAGTTTTTAGTGTACAAGTACTGCACTTTTTTGTTAAATTTATTCCTAAGCATTTTATTCTTTTTGATGTTATTGAGAATGGAATTTTCTTAATTTCATTTTCAGATTGTTGCTAACGTATGGAAATACAACTGATTTTGCATATTACTCTTGTATCTTGTGACCTTGCAGAACTTGTTTATTCTAGTTTTCTCACTGAATTCTTTAGGATTTTCTATGTACAAGATTCATATCATCTGTGAATAAAGAGTTTACTTAGTTTTCAATCTTTTGTTTTTCTTGCCAAATTGCCTTGTCTAGAATCTCCAGTACAATGGTGAATAGAAGTGGTGAGAATGTACATTTTTATCTTGTGCCTGATCTTACTGGGAAAGCATCAAGTCTTTCTTTCATCATTAAATATGATGTTAGCTGTATGTTTTTTCAGAGATGCTCTTTGTCAGGTTAATGAGTTCTCCTCTATCCCTAGCTTGTTGAGGGTTTTTTTTTTTTAATGAATGGATGTTGGATTTTGTCAAATATTTTTTCTGCATCTATTGAGATGATTTATGATTTATTTTTCTTTTGCTCACATATTTCTAGTGTTGTCTACTGGAGAAGACTAGAAGCAGTGAAATCCCATTGCAGTGAGCTAAGGATCACTGTGTCTCCTGTCTTATTTCTGGACACTGGCCTTTTTGCATTTGTTATCCTATAAGCAGACTGCTTTGATTTCTCTGAACACCCTGTGCTTTCTCATTGCCTTTATTCTGTACAAATTTGGCACAGAATACTCTGTACATCTTGCACATGCTGCTCTCTGCCTGGACTGTCCTTCCCACTCTTGTCTACTTAGCAAAACCCCTACAGTCATCACCAGTCTCATCACAATCATAAAAGTAGCTGTCAAGCTCATAGTGGTTGATACAGCTTCCCCAAAATTCTAATTTTCTCCTGAAAGCTTGAATTTTTTTTTTTTGTGGCTGGTTGGTAACAGTGATTGAACCCTGGATCTTGGTGTTTGTTACCAACACCATGCTCTAAACAATTGAGTTAACTGGCCAGCCCTAAAAGTTTGAATTTTATCATTGACCATAAATACTGTCAGTTGTTTCCCTTAAAGTGATAGCCTTACTTTATTTTAGAGAAATGTCTGCCAAACACCCAAGTCTGAATAACCATAGTTTGTGTGTCATTCTTTCAAATGTTCAGCTTTTTTTTTTTTTTTTTTAAGATGACCCGTAAAGGGGATCTTAACCCTTGACTTGATGTTGTCAGTACCACGCTCTCTCAAGTGAGCCAACCAGCCATCCCTATATGGGATCCAAACCCATGGCCTTGGTGTTATGAGCACCACACTCTCCCAAGTGAGCCACGGGCTGGCCTAAAAAGTAGTTCTGCTTCTAACTCAGAACCGTCACAATTTTTCTTGTGACAACCACTGTATGCTGGTTTGCAGCAGTGTTTTATGCATACTTCCCATGTTGTATAAAATATTTAAAAAAGACATCCAAGGTTGAGATTTAGTAAAATTAATTTTGCCTCATCAAGGACATTCTAGGGCTGGCCAGTTAGCTCAGTTGGTTAGAGTGCAGTGTTATAACACCAAAGTCAAGGGTCTGGATCCCTTTACCAGCTGGCTGCCAAACAAAAACAAAACAGGAATTCTTAAACTAATTTTTTTTTCCTTTTTGTCTTTTTTACTGACTGGTAACGGGATCGCAACCCTTGGTGTCACGCCAGTACCGGGGACTGGCAACGGGATCGCAACCCTTGGTGTCGCTCCCGCACCGCGCTCAGCCAGTGAGCGGGAACCGGTCTCCACATGGGATCCGAACCCTCAGTGGGAGCGCCGCCGCACTCCCAAGCGGTGCACTCTCCAGTGCGCCACTGGGCCGGCCCTTAAACTAATTTTTTAAAAAATCGTGAGTTTGTGGTTTTTAAAGTCATACGGTTCAGTGCCACTGCCTTGATTTGTGCAGCAGCAGTTTTACCCACCATTGGTTTTGCACCATCAGTACAGACGTTACCACAGTAAAAAAGGCAAAAAACTTAGTATTACTAAGAAAATAGCTTTGACTCATGGATTCTTTGAAAAAATCTTGGGGACTTCAGCAGTCTGCAGACCATACTTTGTGAACCACTGATCTAGTGGATTAAACTCAAATTTGAAACTAAGCTTTTTGAAGGCAGGGACTCTTTCTGTTTAGTAGAAGTCCAAATGTTCATTGATACAAGTTTACACTTAAGATGTCTGTCCTCTTTTTCTAGGAATTCAGACTTAAACATTCTTTCTAGAATAAGGGTATTGATGGGTTACTGTTATTGGAATAACCCCAAATATTTAATGTTAATACAACGAATACCACCTCTTTTTCACATTTAAAAGAATCTAAGTCCTAACCTTAAAAGGCTAAATAACTGAATGATCACTATTAAGGGACCATAAGACAACTTAGTTGAAGACTTTTCTCATTTCTAGGGACCATTCTTTTCAATCATTCCCAGAACAGAGACTTCAAAGGATTTGCAGAGCCAGTTGTCACATACTACTTACACAACCAGGCTCAGGTTTGCTGGGCCAATTTTGCCACCTGCTTTTCTCTCTTCTCTCCTGTATTTCTTTCCTTCTATTTTTTTTTTTCTTTTCCCATGTTTCCTACATTAACATAAAGTTTGAAAGGCTTTTCCTATTCTCACTTAACATCTTGTTCAGGAGGGACCTCTTCTTTTTCACAGTGGCTAAGAAGTATTATCTGTAGTGTGGACATTTGGAGGTAAAACATAACAGAACAAAACTAGGAAACAATCATAACAGAATTAGGAACGTGGAGAGCAGCACAGAGCGCAAAGGGTTTGGAATCACATAAGATAAATATTCTATTTTACATTTCACTCAATAAAACTGGAGTGCCTTCAATGGAAGGAGAGAAAACCCCTAACAGGCTCCAGTGAAAACTTTGGTCAGTGCTATAGTTTCTGCCTGGGTCTCTACTCTTGAATCACTGCCACATGAATTGCTCATCACTGGGGACTTCTGACTAATGGTGAGTATAATCCCTAGAATTTTTTTCCTGTTATTCCTTTTTCTCAAATATATGCAATAGCAGAGGCTTGGTAAATATGTGATTTTGCCTTAAAGACTGGCTATTAATGAGGCACTACCGTAAGGATCTCATAAAAGTTTTTATACCTAATACAACATAAGCTTTGTTACTATATTTAGTTCCAGGCCATGTTTCAGGTAAGCTGGTAGTGGCAGTGTGGCATAGGAAGAGAAATGGAGTGGGAGTCTGGGAAGCTGATTTCTAATGGAGGTTCTATCATTAACTGACTTTAATCTAAGGCAGACTTCCTTGGTTTTCGGACTTAGATCAGTGTGATAAATGGATTTGGACTAGATGGTTGTTAATAGTCCTTCTAGTTCAAAATTGTCTGATTCTAAGTCCTACACCAGCAAATAAGTTTATAGGTTAGGTAATATAATATATAAATTATATAATAAAAATTCCTAATTCTAGCTGGCAATCCATTTATTCCTTTAGGTTGAAAGCACTTATAACTTTACATAAAGGTAATATAAATGATATAGAAACAAAATCCAAATTAAGTAGCAAAGTTAGAAGCATTAAAAAGCATTAACCAAAAAAATTTTTATGGTAAATACCTTTATTTTAAAAAGTTATACATGCTAGAAAAAAGCATAAATGATCCATGTAAACAACTGTTTACCAAATACTTATTTTCTTCCTTGAAAAAGGTGCAAATGATCTTTAAATGTAAACACAAAAGTTGCCAAACATTTTTGTAGTAAGGGAGAGGGAGAAGGAGCTTATTCCTTTTGGTTGTAGTTGAAGTCTTAGTCAAAGATTTTCCTGCAAAACACATTGAAAAAAATTGGTCTATGAATACAGTGAGAAAAAAAAAACATTAACCATTGGAATTCTTTTTCCTTAAAAATTTTAACTTTTCACCAGAAAGTGCAATTTGAGAGAAGTAGTAACAGTGGCCTTATAGAATGAAGATAATGATATATAGCTTGTATAAAAGAACCAAGATATTAATAATATGTCTCAGTTGGTTTTATATTCATTAGCACGTACAATTACATGAGCTGAAGAATTCACTCCCTTGGAGGCTGATACTGAAGGTGAGCCTCAGCTTCACCAGGCCTGAGCATCAGGTGTAAACTGCATAACAGAATTTGCTGCTGGGGAAAAGACATTTTTCTCTGCTGATCCTTGGTAGCAAGACCGCAAAAGGAAAGTTGCTTCAGTCAGTAACATTTTTGAGCAAAAACTCTTGCAGAGTTACACATGATTCTCTTGGGGGAGTCTCCAGACAGCATATGAGACTCATGTACTGTTTATATAAGAGGCACTGAGCAGAGCTCTAGATCTAGCAGCAACTCTATGAGAATATTATGAGGAAAAAAAAAGACACTTTAAATATAGTGGAAAACAAATTCATATAGAAGGAAACAAGACATGAACTTCCATGGATGAAAACTAGCATCTGAATCCTGTTTTTTTAAAAAAATATTCCTTCTGAATTGTACTGTTTAAAATGAGATGTTTCCTTTCGTCTGTTTATTAGATTTTCAAGTCTTCTGGTTCTTAGTGCAAGACTGATGGATGGCTAGATAATACATTTTGCATACCTATCTTTATCACTGCTGGTAATCCTTGTGAGTAGTGGAGTTATGTGGGTGGAGTGTCTAGAAATAGCCCTTCTGCCCTTATCAGTATTTTCAAATTTAAACCAATACCTTAAAAAGAAAGTAAATTTTGCTGCTTGGAATTGCTGTCCTTTTTTTTTTTTTTTTTTTCCTTTTTTTTCATGAAGAACCCACCCCCCCCAAACCAAACAAAAAACCAAACAAAAATACAAAAAAACCCCATGATAAATTAAAACCAAAAATAAATATTCTTCTGCACAGAGTTGAAAATTATTGTGCAAAGGTGGCATCTTGCAGGTGAAGTACTTTCATTGGGTTTGTATTTCCATATGTTGAGGCACCGGCAAAGAATAAAATTTGTTCTAATGTTTTCTCAAGCTGTACAAAGCTCCAAAGTCGTAGCTCTCCAGAATACAAGACTCTTCTATATGTTCACCATATATGGGATTCACAATGTGTCATTTTAATAACTCCTACGCCACCCCCTAGCCGACGGTAATTCATCCCGCCATATAACCTGCAAAGAAAGAAACAAAATCAGATTTTCTAACTGGAAAAAGCACTTTTTCTCCCATAAATAAGATGTTAATCAAACACGTTTGTATGCTTTACATTACAAATAATATTTTCAGCTTCATACATCTCTTCCAAAGATTAGAAGCTGGAATTGAGCACTGATAAGTAGTAGAATTATTTCAGACACTGACTGAAACGCACTCACTTACTGGAGCCTGTTTGAAGAATGAGAGAGCATCATATTAACTTTTTACATCAGAACATTACAACTTTACAACCAGACTGCTTTCTAACAATTTCACAGAACCATCTGTTCTACATTTTTGTGTCTAATTTTGCCTCAGGCTATATTATTTTCCCATCCACATTTTTCCCTTTGCCTAAACTTCCTCAATTATTTATTTTTATCCCTTTGTCTTGTATGTACTCTCGTAAGCCTCCTCAAATCCTTTATGGAACAAAACTAGAAGTGAGTAAAGTCAGCATCTCGTTTGTGACATCTGAATAAGATCATAGTCAAAATTAAGGACATCTATGGCAAAGAATACTTGGTCCTTAATCAGCTGTGAGGTAGTAAGTTGGGGATATGTAACTGCTAAAATTTAGATATTAATCTCAACAGATCATCCTCAAGAATTTCATGGCTATTACTTCGTCATATGTTACTAATTCTATTTAGTAATGCTTACTGAGAAGCAAGGCCTTACATAAGATTATAGTGATTAAGTAGAAGTAAATTTGCCATCTTACCAAATTATGCTCACTCAGAATACCCACTACAAATAGAAAAGCAGTGTACAGAAGAAAATATCCCACAACTGGGAGGCTCCAATTAGTGAAAACCTGCCATTATCTATCCTTTAACTCTATTAGATTTTGCTAAAATGTTACTTTTTCAGTGAGGCCTTCCCTGGCCACCTTTAAAACAGACTCTCCTCCCTGCCCTCCCCTCCTCCCCTGTTTTGCCATTCGCCATAGCACTTCCACCCCTGGTATGGTGCTGTTTGTCTCCCTCTCTACAGTGCCAGCTCCAGGAGGGCAAGGAATTTTGTTTTGTTCACTTTGTATCCCCATGGCCTGGAACACTCAAAAAATCTTTATTTAGGAAACGGCGTTGTGAAAATGTGATGTAGGAGTAAAAAGTACTACTCTGTCATTAGCCTGACTTTAGTTTTGTGATCACTAAGCCATACAGAGCTGTGAAAGATATGCAGACCCAAAGCATGTCATTTAAATATCTGTAAGAGTTGTGGCTTTATCAGACATGAAGACTATAAAAAGAAGTCAGTAAATTCATTAGTTGAATCTAACAGGGTGATGAAAAACCCTGGGTGGGTAGTTGCAGTCTCAAAATTAGGAAATGTTTCATTATAACACAGCAGGAATGGACTATGAGACTGCCTGTTTCAGAAAAGTGAACTATAGGGCTGGCCCGGTGGCGCTCTGGAGAGTGCGCCGCTTGGGAGTGTGGCGGCGCTCCCGCCGAGGGTTCAGATCCCATGTGGTGACCGGTTCCTGCTCACTGGCTGAGCGTGGCGCGGGTGCAAAACTGAGGGTTGCGATCCCGTTGCAGGTCCCTGGTACGGGCGCGACACCGAGGGTTGCGATCCCGTTACCGGCCAGTAAAAAAGACAAAAAGGAAAAAAAAAAAAAAAAGAAAAGTGAACTATAAAACATCCTTCATGGTCATGAGAAAAGTCTCCCAGGACGTCTCTTCCTCAGCTCTTCATGTCCAGACTGATATCTCTGGTTGATGTGCAACCACAGCCACTGAGATGGTAACTCTAAATTTGCTTAGGCAAGTAAGCTCAATTTATTGGGAAGGAAACCCCAAATTGTTTTCTTAGAAGACTAGTACTTAGAATTAAGTATAGATGTGAAGTACATCAAATTCATAGTATTAATATTTTTAATTAAGTTTGAGAATTAACTATATGTTTGATATCATAAAGTTTTCATGTTTAAGAGAATTTGGCATTTTAGAGCATCTATCAGATTAGTCTTGTGAGTCCAATATAAAATGTGACTAAGATTTAGACTTAATGATTTTAAGTTTAAAGATTTAAAAGAATTTTGCTAAGTTTGTAAAAGTTTTTGAATATTTAAAGTAAATGCAAGAGTCATCTGATTTATGTGAATTTATAAGAACTACTTAAGCACGTAAGATGGGTTTATGAGATATTTAAGGATTTAAAAGCAAAGTAAATTAAACCTATAAATGAAGTTTAACATAGTTAAACTCTCTTAAATAAGATACAGTCTCCTTTCTAAAAGTGAATGTTAAAATTCACTAGATTTCAAAATAGAATAATAATACACTTAAGTAGATTTTATTTTTTTTAATTAAAAAAAAAATATATATATATATATATTTTAAAATGACCGGTAAGGGGATCTTAACCCTTGACCTGGTGTTGTCAGCACCACACTCACCCAGGGCCCTAACCGGCCATCCCTGTATAGGATCCGAACCCATGGCCTTGCTGTTATCAGCACCGCACTCTCCCGAGTGAGCCACAGGCTGGCCCCTAAAAAAAAAAATTTTTTTAAGAGATAACCGTTAAGGGGATCTTAACCCTTGACCTGGTGTTGTCAGCACCACACTCACCCAGGGCCCTAACCGGCCATCCCTGTATAGGATCCGAACCCATGGCCTTGCTGTTATCAGCACCGCACTCTCCCGAGCGAGCCACGGGCTGGCCCTTTAAGTAGATTTTAAAAGCTCAAGAAAAAAAAGTAGGTCTTAAAATGAAATAAAGTATTATTTTTTAAAAAGTAACTATAATTTGTTTTTTCTTGGGCATAAGGCTTCCCACAAGAAATTGCATTTACAGATTTGGAGCCAAAGACCTAGGTTCTAATTCTAGCTCTGTCACTAACTTGTTAGGGAAATCATTTTATTTCTTGGTGCCTTCGTTTTCTCAGCTGAACATGATGGGGCTAGAAAGGAGATTTTTTCCCCTGTTTTTCCCATCTCATAAAGCTGGACAATTACCAAAAAGCATAATTTTGTAATACATCAGCTACTTTGGAGCAATCAAGTCAAAATGAGTCATCAAATATGGATGACATCAGCCCTCTTCAAAGTAGGGCAAGCGGTACCTCAACGTATTGACCATTCCAGTTTTGATGGTCATGGGCTATCTCAAGCCCAGATTTTCAAGTCAGTAGTGAGGTGATTTGCAACACAGCTTAAAGGTTACCTCCACGTATTGGCATCAGGATCAAAAACTTCAATGGTCTTCAAGTACGTTGTGCCATCAAAACCTCCTACTGCCATGAGCTGTCCATTGACCACTGCCAGGCCAACCTACAGGACCAAACATAGTGGCTACTGAAGAATTACTGAGAAATTCTAGACTAATTTCTAGATACATTTCTTTAATAAAAGATCATTCTTTAATGCCTTACATTCTGGTTTACTTGAACACAAAGGAAAAAATGACAAAAATCTATTAAATTATGGGAACTGTAAAATTAGAATATTCAGAGTCCAAAACATATATTTCCTAAATTTTAGAACCTCCAAATTGCTCTCACTTTCTCTGGTATTTGCTCATTCCAATCCACTTTCTAAATTGCTACTAAAATTCTCTTTTAACACAAGTCTTGGGGCTAGCCAGTTAGTTCAGTTAGTTAGAGCATGGTGTTGATAACACCAAGGTCAAGGATTTGGATTCCCATCCTGGCCAGCCACTAAAACCCCCCCAAAACAAGTCTAATCATGCTATCACTTTCTTTGTTAAAAACTTTCTAAGCCTACTTACTGCCTAAGGTTAAGGTTAAAGTATTGTTACTCAGGCCCTCCAAAGATGGATTTTTCCATCTTAGCCCACTGGTTTAGCCTCACCTCCTTTTTAGCCTTTTCCCCTTCCTCCTCCTAATGCACCCTATACTTCAATAATACTGGATTAACTGGTAGTCCCTGAAAATACCATATGCACATTTTTCACCCCTCCATATTTTTGCACAAGTTCTTCCCCGGCTGGTGTTTTCAGTCCTTGTAGAAAACCTTACTCTTCCTTCATGACCTAGCTTACATGTCACTGTCTGGCAGTCTTTTCACTGTTCCCACCCATTCTTACTTCCTCAAAGCATTACACACACTCTTCCATATTCTCCTATAACACACATCCACTCCTATTGGATGTATTTGTTATAGTTAGATGTAAATATCTTAATTTCCTTCACTAAATCGGGAGCTCCTTAAGGAGAGGAAGCATGTCACACTCATTTCTGCTTTCTAAGCACACAGTGAGCACTTAATAAATATTTGCTAAATGAGTGAAAATACAATCAACAGAATGTAGCAGTGAAAACAGGAATGTGACTAAGAAGCTGTTAGTTACCAGTAATAAAAAGACAGACATATGTGAATGCTTTGACTTGGGGACGCCTTCCTTGTTCCTTGACTTATGCAAACCAGAATTTACTCCTTTTTATCCTCAGATTATGGAGTTGTTAGCTACTGCTTGCTTCTCCTTGATATGGATGTATTCTACATTGATGGACTCCTGACATGATCAGTGGTTAATGGTTTACATTTCACTCTGAGCCAAAGTATGGATAAATTCTATACTCCATCCCGGAAATATCTTGTAATTACAGGTCATCCATGGTCTAGAAAATGACATTGGTCTGTTTGATCTGGCCTGTACTATAGATGGAAACCAGCTTGTAGAGACTGGTGGTGGGGCCAGATGTGTTTTTGCCTAAACATTTGTATTAGTATGCCAACTACTTGGAATATTAACTAGCAACATCAGGTAGAGGGGCTGGCTGGATAGCTGGTTAGTGCACAGCTTTGTAACACCAAGGTCAAGGGTTCTGTTCCCCATACCAGCCAGCTGCCAAAAAGAAAACAAAAACATTAGATAGGAATTTTTAGCTCTAATAGGTATGAAGTTAGATAATATAAGGAGATGTATTCCAGAGAATAAACTGATATAAGATAAATCATACATAGTCATATTAATTAATCATAATTCTGTAATTAAAGATATGACTAGATATATTTAATTACTTGAGATAAAGCAATCAAAATAAATTTATTTTTTTTTCCTAGTATAAAATTAGCAGGGGTTGTTTTGACTAAAAGCATTCCAGTAGCATCAGATGAGGCTGTTGATAAAATAAAATGTGTAGGCACTAGCAGTTCACCTCCTCATTCCTCAATATTTTACAGATTAGAGTGCCCTTCTTCACAGCCCTCTCTTGGTGCTTATTTCTCAAAACTCAGAGCTCTCAGTAGGTGGTCACTTACCCCACTACGGCGGGATGTCATGGCTACCACTGGAGACCACTGGTTAGTTCTGGGGTTGTATCTCTCAGCACTGCTAAGCTCTGTAGTGTCATCTCTACCTCCTACAGCATAGATCATATCCTGATACACTGCACATCCTAGGTGTTTCCTCCGAGTCCCCATAGGGGCTATGGTGTGCCATCTGTTTTCCTGAGGATTGTAGCGCTCCACTGCAGGGAAAAGAAAAACCAGAAGTGGCCATTCAACCATTTCCTCTCACCTCTAGTTTTTTTCACAGCCACTGAAACTTTGTGATAACAAATACTTTCAACAAGCAATCTGAGTTTTGCTTCTGAGAAGAATTTATACCTTTGGAAAACACCACATATACTCTCATCAGGGACTGGTTTCTTCTAGGTATGGTATGGTAGAGAGGGCATGTGTTGGAGTCATACTTGAGTTCTAGTTTTGGCTCTATGACCAGTTAGCTACATGACCCTCAGCCTTCCTCTCCTTGTCTTTAAATGGGGGGACTGGCTATATGATCTATAAGCACCATTCAGTATTAGCAATTTATTATCATAATCATTACTCTTATACTCCCTTGCCTATAGTCTAGTGTACTTTAAGCCATTGAAGAGAAGACAAGATACGTGACAATGAATCTGATGTAAGTGCCACACTGACAATATCCTTAGGCAAAATACCCACTATCCCTAAATAGAAAGGACTAACAAATAAACCAGTTTCTAGATTTAAGTTTTTATTTATTCTTAGATTATAATATAGAGTATATGTTTTTTTTGAGGAGAGGTCGGGGGAAGGGAAATCATATTCAGAAAGTAGCTCTTTTATTCATTATAAATTAATTTCTAGCAGATTATAAAGCAGAGGGAGAAAGAAATATTTTTGAAATGCAATAGAAGACTATGGCTGAAGAAGGAGCTAAGGAAGAGCTGCGAGTTCACTCTCCTAGAGGGGAAATAAAGCATTTTCCTAATAAATTATAGGATACTCTGGATTTTTACACTTTTTGTAGGGGGCTCTCCTCAGGAAAACATGCTGCTTTTGAAGAACCAGACTACCTTTGGGAGGGACTAACCTGTGTTGAGTGGAGATGTCCCGTCAGAGCCACCTACAGCATATAAGAACCCTCCTAACACAGCCACAGCCACGCCTAGTCTTCTGGTACTCATAGAAGCCACCCGAGTCCACTTATTCTCCTTTGGATCATACCTGCAGCAAGAGAAACCAAGCTGTATGCATGTTTCTACTAAGTGAAGCCTTTTTCATAAGGTCTGACATCACACTAAAGATATAATGGATAGACTTGCTATAGTCAAGTGCACAGTGAGAATCTAACATATTTCACTTAGTTATTAGGAAAAAAAAAGTCTTAGAATTTATGTCTGTACCAGCTATTTTCTATAGTTTGACTTATGATGCTGGAGCTGGAACTTTGCAATTTGTTTTTGTAAAACAAATACACTCATATTTGTTCCTTGCCTGCTGGCTCTGTTAAGCGTCTGCCAGAAGGAGGGACTAGATAGACACTGGAGGTCTAGGGAAGGGAAAAGGGACTTCTTTCTGTTTGCTTGCTGACCCAATCAATGCTGTCTAAGCACTGGCCCTTCACTCTGACTGCACCAGTTAATTTCAATTTCTAGCCCTTTTTGGGCACTTCCAAAACTGGCCTTGTTATGCCTCTTGGAGGTTTTCGCCACAGCTGATGGGGTACCTCCTCTAAGCTCCTGAGGTAAGAGTATCAATGTTTCAGTTTTACTGCTGGGAAAATTGCCTCCTCCCCCAACCCATTTAGTTACCTTGGGAAGATCATAGGGACCAAATTTATTGTCTTGGTACATGTTGATAACAATTTGTCTGTACCCTTTATACAGGTCAAGTATCCCCTACCCGAAATGTTTGGGACCAGATTTTTGGGTTTGGAATATTTACAGAATACAGATTTTTTTGGGTTTGGAATATTTACAGAATACAGACCCAATTGAGCATCCCTAATCTGAAAATCTGAAATCCAAAATACTCCAGTGAGCACTTCCCTTGAGCGTTATGACACTCAAAAAGTTTCAGATTTGGGAGCATTTCAGATTTCGGATTTTCTGATTAGGGATGTTCAATCTGTACTTCACAGTCAGTTTCTCTAGGAATAAAATCCTTGATTTATATTTTCCTTGAACATCTTAAATATGCTACCCCATTTTCTTCTGGCATAAAGTATTGCTTTTAAAAAGTCAGATGATAATCTAAGTTTCTTTCCCTTATAAGTACCATGTACCCATCTGTAGATGCCTAAACAATCTTTTTCTTTTCTCGAGGTCCAGTAATTTCTTTAGAATAAGTCTGTGTGGGCCACCAATCCCACTCCACCCGCGGATCTCTGGCGGGGCTGGTGGCGTGGGGAGCCCCCGGCCAGCGTCAGGAGGGCAGAGAAGAGGATCCCGGCCAGACTGTCACTCCACCACACCTGGGGCCTCGGCCCCAGGTAAACTTCCTGCTTCTGGGAGGAAGATACCATCTCTGTGGCCTTCAGTTTGGAAAAACCCAGACTGATTT